ATTTCTTCTTAGCAGCTATCATCATCAACAGCAATATTAGCAGCATTAGAACTATTAGCAACAATATCAGCTGGAGGATCGTTAAACAAAACATAATCAACTTCTAATTGTTCAAAGAAAATTAAAAGTTCTGGGACCAACGCTTATAATTATTTCCATCTAAAGGCTCAAACTTTGAGAGATCAGGAAGTGTTTTGTCAAAGTGGTGGCCATTAGTCAATATTATATGTAAAATCGCTTTCAAAATTGTAAGGAAAATCAGTAGATAATATTGATTAAGAACAACAAGGAAAGAAGACTACAACTTATCAAAAATACCTTGTCGTGGCAAGTCACTGCCTTGAAAGCGATTTCGGCCCGACTGGGTGCAAATCGTTAAGGCCGGTCGCTCCCCAAGGTTCCACAGCACCTCCAAACACGTGCATTCGTGGCTGTAAGTTTAGAATTTGCACAAAACAGTTGCCCAGGAAGAAGAGAAGATGAAGGTATTTTATGTGTTGGATAATTCACAAAGAAGACTAGGAATAAAGAAATGATTAGCTAGATGTATTCTTGGTTAAGAATTGAGTGATTATGATGGCTAATTCATAACCTATTTATAGGAAATTAAGGAGGTTGCATGTATGACAAGTGTCGAGAGACTTTTGACACTTGTTCCATTATGTTAGTCCACTTGGCTCCAATATTGACAAGTGTATCTTGTCTTCCATGCATGAAGACATTTGGCTCCAATATTGACAAGTGTATCTTGTCTTCCATGCATGAAGACATATGGTAGATATGCATAGCCATTTGTCAAAGCCATTCAACACTTGGCTTTAAGGCTTCATGCAAGAGGCCACTTGGAAATAGATAGGATATTTGAAAAATAAAAAAACTCATGGCTATTGGTTGTAAATGGAATTTCCAAAAAGAAATTTTTGATTTTGCATTACGAATAATTCCAACACCTTATACGTTATACCTACACGTAGAAAACTAAACTCGTATTTCGACTAACTCTTAATCTTCTTTACTTTAAAATGATTATCAATTGTATAAAAATCAATATGTTGAAGTATGCTCTTTTAAGAATTGATTTTTGATTAATCTGAAATAGGAGAAAAGAAGTGTATATATTAAGAAGTGAAGAAGTATGTCTATAAATTCCATCAACCCTAATTTAGCTGACCTAAGTTGAACTTAATGGTCTAATATTTTATTTGTTATAACTTTTATAGTGATGAGCGACCTAAAACTTACAACATTAGAAAAGGGTTGTAGGTAATAGTTTTTTGATAGTCAAAATGGATTAAGAATAACTCCTACACAAGTCAAACATTGACTACGCTTCTAGAACAGAATCGAATAAATAATTTTCAAGTCCATTACTCAAATAGTTACTCAACTATCCCAAATTATCTATTAAAGTCACTTTACTTTCGTTTGTAACAACAAAGTCACTGAACTATGCCTATTGCACTCAGAAGGTCACTCAACTAGATTTTCCAAATTTTGGATTGCCAAATACCTATTTTACCCTCTAAATTATAAATATTTATCTTCTTTTTATTTTTTTAAAACCTTTTAATATTATATTTTTCTCTTTTTAATTTATATTATGGACTTACCTATAGAATAAATAAATATTATTTATAAATTAAAAAAATAAAAAGTATTTAAGCATGTATAGTGCTGGAATAACAAAATAATGAGCATAGTAAACAACTTAATTAGAATAATTTGTTAGTAATAATAGTATTAACAACAAAACTTCAAAAATTTATTTACACATTCAGAATAAAAGAAAATAAAGGTTGTAAAATGTATATTCCATGCACGTAATATAAAAATAATTATTCAAATAAAGGTATTTTTATAATATACATTACATATTCTTGAAAATTATGCTCAATTATATTGGAGGTCAAGTTGTTATCGGGATTTGATAAAATTGGTATGGTTGAACTCGTATCGGAATGGGTTGTTGGATTTTATGAGTTTCATCGGGTTGCGAGATGTGGACCCGAGGACGATTTTGTCAACTTTTCGAGTGAAGTTGGGAATTTATATAAATTGAATTGTTATGAGTATTAGGGTATATTTTCACTGGTTTGCCCATTATTTGGCTAGTTTTGGAGCATTGGGCATCGGTTTGAGTCGTCGGAAGGGCTTAGAAGCCGGATATGGAATTTCGAAGCGAGGTAAGTCTCCTTTCTAACCCTGTAAGAGGGAATTATCCCCATAGGTGAAATAATTAAATATGTGCTTCTATTTGTGGGGGCTACGTACGCACGAGGTGACGAGGGTCCGCGTGTAGCTACTATTATGCTTAAGTGCGGGTAGTTTAGGACCCGAAAGCATGATATACTTGAAATATTTGTAAACTTATTGACAATTTAAATTGCTTAAATCATATTGAATTGGTAAATGAATTTCTAAAGAAATTAAACATCATTTTCTTGACCGTTAAAGAGAAGTTGCCATTTCTTTGGGTAATTGTTTCCCTGATGAATTCTTGATTGACTGTTTGATGTGTTTATTTATATTTGACCACGTCGCATGTATGATTTGCGAGCAGGGTAATAGATGCATCTATGGTTCGCGCCATTTAACCCTCTAGCAGTGCACAATTTAATATTATGTTGAATCGGGCCGTACGACCTCGACATGATTTACGCATGCTTGTAAAATAACTTTTATAGTGATGAGCGACCTAAAATTTATAACATTGAAAAAGGATTGTAGGTATAGTGCTTATAATTTTTTGATAGTCAAAATGGATGAAGAAATACTCCTAATAAGTCAAACATGGACTACACTTCTAGAACAGA